TAGCTCAAGTGGTAGAGCGCTCGCCTTGAGCTGAAGAGCTGAGGGACAGTGCCCAAGCCCAGAGTTCAAGCCCCACGACCGACAAAAAAAAAAAAAAGAGAACAAGCCAGGTGCCGGTGGCTCACGCCTGTAATCCTAGCTACTCAGGAGGCTGAGATCTGAGGATCGAGGTTCAAGAGCAGCCCAGGCAGCAAAGTCCCCGTGAGACTCATCTCTAATTAACCACTAGAAAACCAGAAGTGGCACTGTGGCTCAAGTGGTAGAGTGCTCGCCTTGAGTTGAAGAGTGCAGGGACAGCGCCCAAGCCCCACAACCAACCCAAAAAATAAAAAAGAACAAGAAGAAATGTTCATAGAAGTCCAAAGAAGAAACTAAAACTTTTGAAACCCCAGCACCTAGAGAAGCCCCTGAGGCTTTGACAGATGTCATGTTCTTCCTGAATTGGTGACACCCTTGGCCATGGTGGGGAGTGCTAGTAGCTTCTCGCTGGGGTTGGGGCGCTCAGTCATATTTGCCTTCCAGTTCCACAGTTCCACTTCCTCCAATTCTTTGCCCACAAGATCTTGAGCCAGGGTCTTTGATTTTACCTTCATTGTCCTCAGCTATGCAGTGCCTTGAGGATGCAATAGCATCCCTCCATACACTGAGTCCTGACTGATATGCCCAGAGGTGATTTCACATACAACTGGAGTCCTCTTCAAAGTAGGATCACTGCTCAGGCTTCCCAGAGCTCTGCCTCACTTTGGCCAGGCTTCAATCCCCGCTTTCTAGTCCTACCATGGGACTAGATAGGTCTGGTTTCTGGTAGAGGGCTCGTGGAACAACCATGTCCCCTCCACGATGCCTCTGCTGTCCTCCCTAGTCTCTGATGTGTGCCCTTGACCCTGTTTTTCTAGGAGCTGGATCTGTCTCCTGGGGATCCCAAATGGCTGGATGTGATTGAGCGTGACCTGCACCGGCAGTTCCCTTTCCATGAGATGTTTGTGTCCCGAGGCGGCCATGGGTGAGCAGGCTGGGCCTGTGGGCTGAGCTGTTATTCTAGGCCCTTGTCCTGGGAAGTGAGGGGGATAAGGAGAGAAGGTAGTGCAATGAGTTTGGGGTACGCTGGAGGCCCAGAAGCCAGCTGTCCAAAACTTGGCTCTCCACATTAGCCTTCTTTGGCTAGAGTTTGGTGGTTCTCATAGTGTCCTTTGACCCCTGGGGCAAACCTTTCATCATTTACTCTCCAGACTGCTGACAAGAGGGGGTTGGGTGGGCAAGGGGACAAAACTCCCCAGTGAGGGCCCGCCTCCATCTCCTGACCATCCTTCCTTACTCCAGATCTGTTTGCTGTCCTGCCTTATGCTCTCCTTGTATCCCTGCTTCACCTAGTCCCTGTGGAGTCCACGTGCTATAGAGGGAGATTGACCACTTGGTGACCACATTCAGGTCACCTCCTCCTATCAGGGAAGATTTTGTACATGTAGGTGTGGGTATATGGGAGGCTTGAACTCAGGGCCTGGGCACTATCCTTAATTTTTTACTTAAGGCTGGTCCTCTACCATTTTGAACCACTATTCCACTTCCAGCTAGTTAGTTAGAAATAGCAGACTTTCCTGCCGTTGAATTCATGATCCTCAGATCTCAGCCTCCTGAGTAGCTAGGATTATAGGCATGAGCCCATGGTGCCTGGCAGAATGGGCAGATTCTGAGGCAGGTCTGGTCCTGTGGGCACAGGTGAAGAATTGGGCAGCAGAGTCACATCTGTCCATCACGCCCTGTCTGGCCTTTCCACAGCCAACAGGACCTGTTTCGTGTGCTGAAGGCCTACACGCTATACCGGCCTGAAGAGGGCTACTGCCAGGCCCAGGCTCCCATTGCTGCCGTGTTGCTCATGCACATGCCCGCTGAGGTACCTCCAGGCCCCGGGTTGGTGGTGGGCAGGTGGGTGGGGACTGCCTGCATCAGCAAGGCCTCATGTCTTTCTTGTCTGCAGCAAGCCTTCTGGTGTCTGGTACAGATCTGTGAGAAGTACCTGCCTGGCTACTACAGTGAGAAATTGGTGAGTGCTTGTTTGGCCTGGGCCCCACCCAAGGCTGGCTACTTTTTCTCTATAGCCACTCCAGGCTGAGTAAAGTCCCTAGACTTAAGAGACTCAGGTCTTCTAGACCCAGCATGGTCAGGTACATACTTGCCTACATCTCTGCTTCCACCACTCTGGCTACTGGGCAGGATAGAAATTTCTCCAGGGCACCCAGTTCCTCTTCATCTCAGCCCTGGTTTGGGCTTAGTTCAGTATCTGTCTGCAGCACTATTCCACTATCTTTCCCTTGAGAACCTCCACTTCCCCTCAGCTTTCTACCTGGAGAACTTGCTTTGACCCTGACAGGTGGACCCTGTACTACTGCTGAGTGTCCAGTCTTGGGCTCCACCTCATTAGCTCCCAGGTGCTCTAAGGCCCTTTTTCACAGGAGCCCACTTCTGTTTAGTTTGCTCCTTGCTGGATCTCAGTCTCCTCCAGAAGTCAGCACCCTACAGGCAGCAGCCAACAGAAGAATAAATGAAGGCCTGGTTCTAGTCCCCCTCCCTGTGGGCCCTGTTCATGACCCTATGGCTTTGATGTTCGTTCCCCCCCAGGAGGCGATCCAGCTGGATGGTGAGATTCTCTTCTCCCTGCTGCAGAAGGTGTCGCCTGTAGCCCACAAACACCTCAGCCGGCAGAAGATTGACCCCCTGCTCTATATGACAGAGTGGTTTATGTGCGCCTTTGCCCGCACCCTACCCTGGAGTTCCGTGCTGCGTGTCTGGGACATGTTCTTCTGTGAAGGTGCTGGGCTGGGCTGGGGAGAGTACCAGAGAAGCCCCGAAAGGCCTGCTTACGCTCACCACTCGCCCTCCACCTCCATGCAGGCGTCAAGATCATCTTCCGGGTGGGGCTGGTGCTGCTGAAGCATGCGCTGGGTTCCCCTGAGAAGCTCAAAGCCTGCCAGGGCCAGTATGAGACCATCGAGCAGCTGCGGAGCCTCAGCCCCAAGATCATGCAGGAGGCCTTCCTGGTCCAGGAGGTGTGGCCCACCACTGCGCCTTACCACTGAATGGGAGGGGGAGGACATGGAGGGGATCTTTGGAGGGGTCCTGGTAGGCCTGTGTCACCCACACCAGGCTGCTGCTCAGTGGCTCAGGACAAAACTGGGGCGGCCCTCATCCTCCCGGCTGGATAAAGACAGCGGGGCATAAATGGGATTAGGGTTTTTCCTATCCAGTAGGAGTAGAGGGGAGCTATAACCTGCATCCCTCAACCCCTCAGTTTCTTTTGTTGGTGGTGGTAGTGATGGTGGTGATCATAGGGCTTGAGTTCAGGGCCTGGGCACTGTTCATGAGCACTTTTGCTCAAGGCTAACACTCTGCCACTTTGAGCTACAGCTCTACTTCAAATTTTATGGTGGTTAATTGGAGCTAAGAGCCTCACAGACTTTCTTGCCAGTGCTGGCTTTGAACTGCAATCCTCAGATCTCCGTCTCCTGAGTTGCTAGGATGGTAGGCGTGAGCCACCAGCACCTTGCTCCTAGGTTTCTGTGTGTGTGTGTGTGTGTGTGTGTGTGTGTGTGTGGTATGTGGTGTGTGGTGTGTGTGGTGTGTGTTGGTACTGAGGCCTGAACTCAGGACCAGGACCCTCTCAGCATTTTTTGATCAAGGTTGGCACTTTACCACTTGAGCTATATCTCTGCTTCTGGTTTTTTTGATGATTGATTGGAGATGATTCTCAAGGATTTCTCTGCCTGGGTTGACTTTGAGCCAAGATCCTCAGATCTCAGCCTCCTGAGTAGCTAGGATTACAGGTGTGAGACACCAGTGCCTGGCTTATTCTCCCCATTCCCCCCCCCCCTTGGACGATACTTGTCTTGGGGTTGTGAAGAAGAGACACATTCTTCTTAAGATGGGCCTGAGGTCAGGGCTGATGCTGTGCAGAAGCAGAGGCCGTCTTTGTTCTTGCTTTACCAGCAGTCGAGGAGGGCTATGGTTTATACCCTCATTGTCCATATGAGGAATAGAGGCTTACAGAGGTAGCATCTCCAAGTGATTCCCTCAGTCACCAGCCAGAAAGTATAGTGGAGCTGGGATGGAAGCCTAGGCAGTCAGGTTTCCCTGGGCAATGGGGGGACATGTCATTCTAGCCCAGGTGCTCACCTGTCTGAGCCTTACTCTTCCTGCCCAGTAGGGAAGGCCAGTGGCTCCTTGAGTAGCCTGAGGCAGGTGCCTGGTACAGAGTTTTGGGACTTGTATTCACAAAGCCCTTCCTTGCAGGGGTCAGCTGTCAGCAGTCAGAGCTGGGGGAGACAGCAGAGAAAGGAAACTCAGCTGGGGTACAGATGGGGATTGGCCTTCTTCCTGCTTACCTGGCCCCTCTTCCCACCACAGGTGGTTGAGTTGCCCGTGACTGAGCGCCAGATCGAGCGGGAGCACCTTATCCAGCTGCGGCGCTGGCAGGAGACTCGGGGAGAGCTGCAGTGTCGATCCCCGCCAAGGCTGCATGGTGCCAAGGCCATCCTGGAAGCAGAGCCTGGCCCCCGACCCACCCTGCAACCCTCGCCATCTATCCGCCTTCCCCCAGATGTCCCCTTTCCCAGCTCCAAAGCCAAGCCACCCAAGCAGGTCCAGAATGAGCAGCGGAAGCGGTCGAAGGCAAGTGGGCAGCCGGACAAGGCCCTGGCACCCAGTCAGGACACAGTGGTGACTGCCGCAGGAGATGCATGTCCCCCACAGGAAGTGCCCCCAAAGGACCCCATTTCCCAGCACCTGACCCCTCAGGACTCTGCTCCCCAGAACTTAGTCTGCCGTCGCTCCCAGGAGAGCCTGACTTCCCAGGAGAGTGAAGACACATACTTGTAACCCTGGCAGCTCAGACCTCCAGGATGGGGTCTCAGCAACACCTGGTTCGAAGACTGACACTCCAAGCCTTGCTTGCCCGCTTGGCCGCCAGACCAGGACGGATTCTGGTTGGCCCAGCAGATTCTGCCTGAGTCTCTTATTTATTTTCTCTATAGAGTGGAGCTCCGGTGGCCTAGCCAACACCAGCAGAAGCGAGGGCCTCATTCAGCCCCTCCTCCTGGGGGAGGTGCTTCCCAGTGCTAATGTCCTGACTTGAGGGGGGTCGTGGGGTACTCTTTGTGTAAAATAGAAACATGATTTTGTACAGAAATAAACAAGCTTGTGTAGAGAGCTGGTGTATAGCTTAAGAGCAGGAATGCCCCCACTTGGCATCTCTTCTTCACCAGGCCTTACAGAGCCCCTCGTCCTGGCCCTGGTCTAGCAGGAGTTGGGTCCTCAGTAGGAGCTTCTCTGAGAAGGTTCTTTGACAGAGGAGTTGCCAAGTTCAGGGTGAGCTGATCTTGACCCTTACTTTCTCTTCTCCCATCCCTGCTGCATCATGTCCGTCCACCATGGACAAGGGATAATGCTGGAGCCCAGCACTGGGTGAGAGCAGGGCATGATCCAGGGCCTGGTCCCTCCTCTTCACTAAGGAGGCGCCTGCCTTCCTTTCCCCCTCCCCTGCCCTCCACTCCCCCTCCCCCTCCCTCATTCCTCTTCCCTCCTCTTCCTCCCCTCCCCACCCTCCCTCCCTCCGATTGAACTCAGGGCTGGGCACTTTCCTTTCACTTCTTTCAAGGAATGGCACTCTACCACTCAAGTCACAGCTCCATTTCCAGCCATTTAGTGCTTAATTGGGGATGAGTCTTATGTCCAGGTTTTGAATCTCACTCCTCAGCTCTCAGCCTCCCAAAGTGCTAGGATTATAGGTATGAGCCATTAGCCCCCAGCTAAGAAGCTGCTTCCTTGCTCTTCTCCCTCCCTCCCAGGCCAGTCCTGTTGCCATTTCAGGGTGGGATTCTGAGCACTCCTAGCACCTGGGGTGAGGCATTCTGAATGTCCTCGTGTTCAGTCCTCAGCTGATGAGTGAGGAGAGACATCTGTTTACTGAGCACCTACCATGTGCTGGGCTGGGCTAGATGTGCCTGACATGAACCACAGGCTGAATGGGAAAGGAATCCCTCTTCTTCTGTGAGGAACCTCTTGAAGCCTCTCCTCACTAGTTCTAGATGACCTGCCTGCCATGGAGTTAAGCACTAGGTCACAATCTGATGACAGGCAATGGTGAGGACAGGGTGTCCCTGGGAGAGGCTCCCCTCACCCCCCCCCCCCTCTGCTGAGGAAGCAGCTTTTCCAGTCAAACAATAGCGGCTGTTCCTGGCAGAAGACCAAGCAGGGCCTGGCCATAGCGGGAGGGGATGGAGGAGGGAAGAGCAGAGCCTCCCTGGGAGCTTTCATGCATCGTCCTGTCCTGGAACATCTTGTCCTGTTACAGCTGGGGATATTGAGGCTAGGGAGGTGAATGGGCAGACTACCTATTTCCTGCCTCCTGCCCCTCACCCCTGTGGTTTCCCACCCCATGTGCACCTGCCATGGATGGCCTGAGCTCAACCTCTGGAACATTCCCTCCCCCCCCAGGAGTCAGGGCAAGATGTTGGTGACTGCAGCGTTCATGGAAACATCCCTAGCCTGGTAGCTTCCCATCTGCTTGTTGGCCCAGGCAGACTGGATACCAATGAGGCCTGAGGTCTGCTTTTCCCCTACTTAGGTGCAAGGCCTCAGACCTAAAGTTTCAGTGTATTAGGACAGACATGCCCCCTGGAGCATGCCCGGCCTTGCCTAGGAACCAACGTGAGCTTGCTGGTGCTTGCTTGGCCTTGGGGTCGCCTTAGACCTGCAGAAGCCTGATCAGATCTGGGGTGTCTGCCAATGTTTGGAGGAGGGGAGATGGGGATGTGCTCAAGCCAGTTGGGTTCTGCTGACGGCTACAAGCATCTTTGTGAAGGCCTCTGTGGAGCTTGTTTCTGGCCTGGTTTTCCTGTGAAGGGCCTCAAGCCATAAGTTGGGGCCACCAGCACTGCCGACCCCACAGCATGTCGCTGAGAGGTGGCTAGGGCTCTCCTTATCTCTGAGCACTGGTGGGGAGCTTTCTTCTAGTCTGGAAGTTGGGTGAGCAAAATGGCACCACTGTAGGCCCCCACCCAAGTTGGGAAAGGGAGTATTATCCACGCCAATGCTAGGCAGTCCTTGCTTTGGACCTGGGGTAGGTCACCCCCTGCCCAGCTAGCTCTGGAGGCCCCGGCCCACCCCTCCCAGCTCTGCACGTGGAAAGGTGGAGAAAGTGGAGCAAATCACTGGGCCATCAGGATCCTGGGCCTCTGTCCCCCAGGCCTCCCATCCCCGGGCTTTAGGGCCTGCGTTCAGGTCCCAGCCGAACTAGAGTTCTTTAGCCCCTTCCGTATCTTTAAGACTGCAACCAGCAGGCCGAGATGCACGCCCGAAAGAAACAAGCCCGGGCTTCCGGCACATTCCCGAGCCCCGCCCGTCAGACGTCCTGCGGAAGGGAGGGGGGAAAGCCGCGCGCGGGGGCGGGGCCAGGGCGGGGCCTCAGGCCTCGCGAGAGGGTGGGGTCACAGCTGAGCCAGGGCGCCAGGGGTGGAGCCATCCGGGGTAGGGCTCGGCCAGCGAGTGAAGTTCTGGTTCGGGGAGGGGGCGTTGTCACTCTCATTGGCTGTGCTTCTGGAGGGGCGTGTCTATCCGGGAGGACGCTGGGCGGGGCCACAGCGCTGGGCGGGCCCCGCCGCGTAGCGGGTGGCGTGGATGCCGCGACACCGCGGCTCCTTTAAGTCCCGGGGCGCCACCCCCGCTGCCCCGCCTCCAGCCTGGGTCTAGCAGGCGGCGGGGTCGGGGCCGCGCTCGCCGCGATGGAGCTGCACATCCTGGAGCACCGGGTGCGGGTGCTGAGTATCGCCCGGCCCGGTCTCTGGCTCTACACCCACCCGCTCATCAAGCTGCTGCTCCTCCCCTGCCGCAGCCGGTGCGCGCCCGGGCTGGGGGGCGCAGGCGGGGGCTGGGCTGGGGCTGGAGGATGAGGGTCGCCTCGGAGCGAGGGGGAGAGGGTGGGGAGGCACTCCCCGCGCCGGCCGCCATCCGGCTTGGTCCTACCCTTTCCTGGGACGCGCCTATCCGGCCCCCCGTCCCGGGGCCGGGGCCGGCCGGCGCAAACAGCCTGGGGTGGGTCCCGCTCCGCTCCGCAGGGGGCGAGGCGGGGGGCCGCCCTCCACGGCCCTCTGATCAGGTTGGAGGCGCTGATCGAGGAGGGCAAGGTCCGGTGCCCCTTGGGCTGGCGTCCCGGGGTGCCTGAGGCCCCCCTTCCCTGGGCGTGAAGGGGCGGGGGAAGGTCTGGAGGAGGCTGAGAACTTCGCGATCCCAAGGCGCGGCCTACACCCCCATTGCTCAGTGGAGGAAACTGAGGCCGGGTGTGGGGGGGTGTCAGGAAGTCCACTGGCAGTGGGAGCAGAGTCCGTTCTTCCTCTACCCCTCTGCTGGGGTTTCCTCCCAGGCTGAAGACCCTCCCTCACCCCTATCAGGTGCAAATTCTTCAGCCTGACGGAGACTCCGGAGGATTACACCCTCATGGTGGACGAAGAGGGCTTTGCAGGTGGGATCACTTGTGCTTTCTGCCCAGGATCTGAAGTCCTGAGAAATCTTGGACCTTAAAGGATCTGAGTTCGAATCCACCACTCAGGGGCTGTGTGTCTTTCAGCACATCTCTTCCCTTCTCTGGGCTGTGTCCAGTTATGTAAAATGGGTGTAGTTGGAGTGGGGGTGTCTAAACAAGGTCTCTCCTGAGGGCCTTAAAAAGTTAAGATCTATGCGGGGCTGAGTGTGAGAGAGGGGCAGTAAGCCTTAGGCTGGCACAGAGGCCCCCGTGAACAGCTTCAGGCAAGAGTTGGGGGTTCCTGCAGCAGTTTTGACCTCCTAGACACTATTCCTCTTATCTCCTTCGAGTTGGTCAGCTCCTCCCCTGCTGGTCTGGAAACTCCAGGAGTCTGAGGGCTGGGGAAAGAATGCAGGAGCAGGCAGCCATCCCAGAGCAGGGTCCTGGGGGCCTCCTGGCTGTGCTTGGGCGAACAGCAGCCTCTCTGGCCCTTGTTCCTGCTCAGGACTGGACGCTAGCCCTGGTCCCTCCCTGGGCCCTGGGGCTGACATGTGGCTTCAACTCTTGGCTGTCCAGGCCTATCTGACAGGCCTGGAGGCTTCAGCCAGCCAGCTGGAGTTTGGTCTAGCCTTCAACTCCCAACTTCAGGCCTTAGTTTCCCTGTTTGTATTGCTGGGAAGTCAGTCTGCAAACAGAAAGCATCTCTGGCCAACATGATCTGCTGGCGCCTCCTGGTGGTGTCAAGTGATCATGAACAGGCTCGAGGTGTAGATCCCATTTTACAAACAAGCTCAAATCACTTGCCCCACATCAAGCAGCAAGTAAATGGCAAAGCTGGGATTTGAACCCAGTTCTGAGTCTGGATTTCTAATTTTACGGGACAGGTTTAACCCCTATCGGACCAGCTCTTGAATCACTTCTTTTCTACATAGGAAATTTCAGAACCCTAGCCCTAGTCTCCAGCCCTGTCCTGTACCTTGCTAAGAACCTCCCAAGGCTCAACCAGGAAAACTGAGGCTCAGAGAAAGGCAGGGCTACCCTTTCAGGCTCGGATCAGGCCCGTGCATCTCGCCCACAGAACTGCCCCCATCTGAGTTCCTGCAAGTAGCCGAGGCCACGTGGCTGGTGATGAATGTGTCATCTCACAGCGGCACGGCAGTGCAGGCGGCTGGGGTCACCAAGATTGCCCGCTCGGTCATCGCACCCCTGGCTGAGCACCATGTATCTGTGCTGATGTTGTCTACATATCAAACAGACTTCATCCTGGTGAGTGTCTGTAAATTCTGGGGCAGGGCAGGGCAGTCAAGGATAACGGGGGGGGAGGGAGAGGGGGATATATCATAATGTACAATCTTTCTATGGTCCAGGTTCGAGAGCAGGACCTGTCAGTGGTAATTCATACCCTGGCTCGAGAGTTTGATATCTACCGTGAAGTGGGTGGGGAGCCTGTGCCTGTGATCAGGGAAGATTCCAGCAATGGCCTTCCCCGTGCTCAGCATGGTGAGGTCTGCCCCTTGACATGCCTTGGTTCTCCCCGGTGTGGGTGGGCCCATGGGTGTGGGAAGACAGGCACACTTCCCTTATGAAGGGTGAGGCTCCAGGAGAGCGAGCCCAGGCCCTGCCCCTTTCCCCAAAGTTCTGCCCACTCCGCTCCTTCCCCCGGCCGGCCACCAGAGGTCGCCCCAG